ATCGAATTGTCTTCCACTTCTCAATTACTTCCTGGGACTCGCATATTTGCTTGTATTGGCCGTCTCGGTCTATGTCTATAGACTTTAAATATGCTGATGTATACAGCGCTAAGAATTTAATCTTAAAGGAAATTAAAAAGCTGAATTTGCAAAACTCCTTTATCAACCAGAAAGCAAACATAGAAAGCTGGGGGACCCACAGCTGGGCCAGACCCCTGGTAGATGCGTCAAGCAGCGGCAGGATATCGGCGAAACACGTGTCTGGGCCTTTTAGCGAGTACCAGGGCTGTTATTGTGGTAATTTACCACATCAGTATATAATAATACAGTCTGTCCGTTGGCAGTAAGAGCGTATTTCACAGTGGTTGATGGGTTTCAGTTCGAAAATACACTTACAATTTCGGTATATGCTGATGTTTACCGCAATCAAAAATTAACTATCAAGGAAATTAAAAAGCCGAATATATCAGGTTCTTTTTACGTATTCCAGTAATGCACCGTCATTACTCTCTGACGGCATGGCTAAGCATAAGTACTATTTTGAGTACTATGAGTAAACGACCAGCCAGCATTGAACTAACCTCGTAGAGAAGAAATTTACCCATCTCTATCCAGGGATAGTCCGGAAAGAGTTGGCTCACTGCTTCCTGGGCACCTGAGCGGAATCCGTTGACAGCTATGTGAATTGCTTCAGGCTCAGTTAATTTGGACAGCTTTCGGTAGTAGGGCCCGCGTAGCGGGGTGAACAAGTCCGCTGGGTACTCATCAAAGGCCTTGAAGTCTTCGCGCTTGTAGGAATGATAGATGAGATCCGCAATATCCCATCGCCTTAGGGCTGCCGGCCCCACACTCTCAAACTGCGTGCAAGCAAGGACGCAGCAAATGAGGTGAATTTGCATGCGCAGTTCTGCCGTCGAGTTAGCAAGGGACACAAACGCTCCGGCGTGTACGCAGAAGATTTATTGATTTTTGAGCACAAGGGCAGAATTTGAACTGTTTGGCTTCTACCACTGAGAGTATCGATTGAAAGGTGGGTTTAGGTAGCCGCGAAAGTAAAATGTTGACTGAATGTACACTAGATGTTCTTATCGCAGGGAGGTAAGTGTGCTAAACCCAGTAACTGCGATCTTCAGACCATGGTTACTTAGTGCAGAAAAGAAGTCTTTAAAGGCCACAGTAGTAGGAAGAATGTATTGTGTACACAAAGGAAAGAAGAATAGATGAGAGTAAATTGAATCGGGAGAAACACGTCCGCTCCGTAGATTGACCGGGTCCCAAGTGAGGTCTGAGAGTAGTCGGGCCAGAAGACAGAGGGGGAGAGAGAGAGAGAGAGCTTTCATTGGTTAGGTCGGCCTGGAGATTTTGGGCATAGAGGCAGCTTGCGTCGGGAACGCGTGCACGCTTGGCATTAGTCGCTTGTC